CTTATTCACCAACTCTCTATCAGCTTTAGGAAAATGATCAACGCGCTGGACATGTAGCTTTTCTGAAAGTGTGCTACAGCTCAAACCACCAGGGTCTTTTCACCCTGTGCACAGCTCAAGCTCAGACTCCTTTAGGCACATTACGTGTCGTAAGCTACTGTACTCTTTCAGGCTTTCATGTGTTTTCCCACCTTCTCTAGTGTCTGTATACCTCCAATCCAACTCCTGTTTATGTGGGAAAAACTGCTTTAAAAAAAAAAAGCTCCTCTCTAAATCTACTCAATAAAGATAAAAAAATCTATCCATCTTCTTTTTTTCAGCACTCAAGCACAGTACTTGTCTTTGTGGATTTCCCAAAAAGGGTCATTGTTGAGCCGACTGTAAATAGCATATCTTCATAAACGTGTCAATAGCGCTCTAACAATCACGGCGGAGCCTGCTAGGGCGAGCAGCTCTCTAAAGCTTCATGTGGACGCATTTACTCATATCCTCCCACCCCTCCCTTGTCATGGCCAAAACAGTTCAAAATTCTGGCATCCCAGACTGATATTCAGCCAGGGTCCCCCCAGACTAGCCATTACATGGGTTGGAATATCCACCCTTTGATCCTAGTTTGTGAATAGCTGTCTTGAGTCCTTTGAGTGCCTCCCACGCACTTGGCTTTCTTCAAAGACCAACACCCTCCAGAAACCTGAAAGTTAAGACCTGGCACAGCTGGGCCTGCTCCCCATGTGGTCAGCGATCATTCTGAATGACTGCTGTCCCCTCCACACCAGTTCTTAAATACACATTGACTGTCACCTTTGAACAGCTTTAAAACGAAAGCCTTGCAGGCCTGGGTATCAAAATGTATCCAGAACTGAGATACATGATTACTTGAAAATTAGTGCCTTACAGAATAAAATATAATCCTGACACTCTCTGGCTTTTTTTTTTTTTTTACAGTTCATGTTGCCTTTCTCCCAACCCTGCCGTCCTTTACATGTTATTTTCCAGAAATTTGTTCTATGTCTTCTTTCCTCTCGAGCCTAGATC